TGCTGCTCTTCCTGCTACTGATGTTACTGTTTGACAGAGGGCACAAGCGCGTGAGCTCGGAGCTGCAGAGTGTCGAGGTGGGTAAAGGAGGAGGAGGAGGAGGAGGAGAGGGGAAGAGGAGGAGCGTGTGTGTGTGTGTGGTTGGGGGGGTGGGGAGGGGCTTCAGGACGGGTGGGATGACTTTTAGTGCAGGAGATCAAAGATCTGAACAACTCCAACGTACAGGAGCAAGATGATGGTGATCTTTTCTCCTCTGCTGCTGCTGCTGCTGCTGCTGCTGCTGCTGCTGCTGCTGCTGCTGCTGCTGCTGCTGCTGCTACTGCTTCCTCTGCTGCTGCTGCTGCTGCTGCTGCTGCTGCTGCTACTGCTTCCTCTGCTGCTACTGCTTCCTGTGCTGCAGCTGCTGCTTCCTGTGCTGCTGCTGCTGCTGCTGCTGCTGCTGATTCTTCTCTTCGTCTTTCCCCTCGTCCTCCTCTGACCTTTCATGTCAGTCGTGAGCTTCTCCAGCATCCTGCGTCTCTCTCAGGCTCCTCCTCTGCGCAACCACAGCTTGAAAGGTCAGTTCAGGAGCCAGCAAGATAACAGGAGGAAGAGACCAGCGCCGGACAGGAAGGGAGCAGAAGAACATGTCTTCATGAGGAAAGAGCGACCGGTGGCGGATGTGGCGGGAGGAGGAGGAGGAGGAGCAACGGCGACTAGGGCAGGGCGAGGGGCAGCAGGGACATGCCGGGTGGAAGGAGAAGGAAGAGGGGAAGGAGGAGGAGCCGAAGTAGAGGGAGAGGGGGGATGAAGATCGCTGGCACTCAACGAAACGCAAGCGAGCACACAAGGACGACTCATGGCAAGCAGCCGCTGAAAGCGCCAGGCAATGCGTCTGCGAGGTAGGAGGAGGAAGACGAGGACGAGGACGAGGAGGACTTAGGTGGTGACTTGAGTTTCAGGCTGGGGAACACAAAGAGTTTGAGCGTGACCAACATCAAGGACTTTGAGAGCATGGGGGAACGATCGTCCCCCTCCTCATCCAACAGGACAGACGTCCTCTACAGCCATCGCTCAAACTCTCCTCGCAGCCCCTCCCTCCCCAACGTCTCCAACAAGATGTCCCCTCCCTCCCCCTCCAAGATCGACCCTCTCCCTCCTGCTCCCGCCGATTCGGCCATGGAGTCCTCCAAGTCCCGGTGGCAGGTAGGAGGAAGAGGCTGGGCTGACTGACGGCCGGCTGACGGCTGCTTGCAGTTCAACGTGGCAGACATTCTCGAGGCGAAGGAGCAGACGACAGGAGCGAAAAGTTTTCAGACGGGCCGAGAGAGCTGAGGTGGCACTGAGCTATCATGGACGAGGAGGAGGAGGAAGGTAGAAGGATGATGATGATGAAGAAGAAGAGAGGGAGAGGGAGAGGGAGAGGGAGAGGGAGAGGGAGAGGGAGAGGGAGAGGGAGAGGGAGAGGGAGAGGGAGAGGGAGAGGGAGAGGGAGGAAGATGAGGGTGACAGCGGATCAGGGGAATGCGGGGCTCAGTTACAACGGGGATGTGCGATTATTTCGAATAGAACCAGAAACATGGACGAAAAACGTTGCAAGGAAGAGGACGAAGCTAAGGAAAATCAAACACGGAGGAAGGAAATGCAAGCGAGGGCAAGAAGGAGGCGAAGGAACAAAGAGGGCAGGAGGAGTGGAAGAGGAGGGACGGGAGGATAGAGGTCGATGCAACAGGGGGCAGGATGAGGAGAAGGAAGAAGGAAGGCCCGAAGAGGAGCGGGTGGGGAAGAGGAGGAAGAGGAGGAGGGGAGGGGGGAGGAGGAGGGGAAGGGGAAGGAGGAGAAGAAGGAAGAGGAGGAGGGGAGGGGGAAGGAGGAGGGGAAGGGGAAGGAGGAGAAGAAGGGGAGGAGGAGGGGAAGGGGAAGGGGAGTCCTTCACTTGTCGTGGTCGAAGTTGATCTTGATGTCTGTGACGATCTTCTCCTTGGAGGACTGCAGGAGCCAACCTATAGTGGCTGAGGGAACGAAACTGAGGAAGGGAAGGGCTTCCTCCACCAGCCCAGAGACTGCAAGGATGCACTTGTATGTGAAGGGCTGATCGCCGAACCTGTACACGGCTAGTCAGCGAGGACAGCAGGAGCAGGAGCGGGAAGGGTAAGGAAGAGAGAGTGGGGAAAGATGAAGAGGAAGAAGCAGGGGGAGGAGGAAGAGGAGGAACGGGGGATGAGGAGGTAGCAGTACGTCTGGAAGAGGAGGAAGGCGTAGACGGGGGACCACAGCAGGTCGATGGACTCTCCCACAGGTCCGGGAAGGAGAAGCTCAGGGGAGGAGCCGACGATGTCGAGGAGGAGACACAGGAAGAGCCGCTGCAGCTGGGAGGGGGAGAGAGTGGCGAGACGCGTTGCGCTCGCAGCCACGAGCTCCCGAGGGTTCAGGTTACCTCCTCCTGCTGCGGAGCTTCGGGCGAGGAGACCGAGGGAGAGAACAGAGAGGGAGCATGCTCCTGCTGTAAAGACGGCTCGGAAGGTTTCGCGGAAGCCGTCGAGGTCGAGAGCGACAACAGATCTTGCTCCTGCTTTCTTCATCCTGACACTCATGCTCCTGCTCGCGGGAACGAGCGAGTTCCTAGCGCCGGTCAGGATGGGGGGGCTAGAGGTGGGCTGGAGAGAAGCTCAGAGTAGTGAAAGGAGTTTGAGACGTCACCTGGAGCGGGAGGGGGACTAGAAACGCGTGGAGGATGGAAGTGAGGGTGAAGAGGACCAGCAGACGCTGAGGTAGACTGTCAGGATACCAGCCTCCTCGTCAGCTCTATCAACGTCTCTTCATTAACATCTTTCTTGTTCGCTTCATAATATCTTTTGCTTGAACTTGTAAATCTTTCACATCCCTTCCAGTTTCATACATTCTCATCTCCTATCTCCTTCATTCATGTTTTGACCTCCCTCTCCCTTCAACTCCTCTTCTCTCCTCTCCCTTCCCCTCTCTCTGTCCTCCTCCTCCTCCTCCTCTTCTCCCCGCTCTTTCTCTCACCATCTCGGCCCTGCATTTTGCCATAGCTCCTTTCCTTACATCTGCCCTTTGACCCCTACCCCTACTCCTTGCTATTTTCCCACCCTACCTATCAACTACGACAATACGACTAGTGATTTCAAATTCAATTTCCATTTTATTTGAACTCTGATAATTATTTTTCAAAATTGAGCTGGTAAGTCCGTGCAATCTCGAAATATGGCCTGATCCGCCTCATTGCCCTAAAGTATACGCCCGGCGGAAGAAATGGCGAAGCGTGTTACGACAATGGCGGCGATGGCGGCGATGGCGGCGATGGCGTCAGCGATCCACCTTCCTTCATCACATGAGCTCTCTCCTCCCAGTCTCCTCCCCCTCTCTCCTTCCTCTGCACTCTCTGCTTCTGTTCAGCACAGGAGGATCGCGCGTTCCTTGTGCACAAGCACGCGCATGCGCAGTGGGCGACTGGTGGAGGCTGGTACGGAGGAAGGGATCCTCAACATGAGAGGAGGGAAACCTTCAGCTGAAGAGAATCTTGCTGGCCAGGGGAGCCCCTGCGGTCTCACTTGGCCCATCACAACATGCTGGATGTACTTCATGTCCATCGCCCTCTGTGCCCCCGCGCTACCGTCCATGGCGAACAAGATCGCTCGATCGGACGGGAAGGGAACAGTCAGTGCTGAAGGCGTGAGGCTGTATGGCACCCTCACCAGCATCGACCAGGCCTTCACAGTGCTCTTCACAAAGCTCTGGGGCTCGTACTCCGACGTCATCGGCCGAAAGCCCCTCATGCTCTTCTCAGCCGCAGGTCTTGCGGTAGGATGGGCCACCGTGGTGAAGGCGGCAGAGAACAAGAACATGGCTCTGCTCTACTTCGGTCGCATGCTCGACGGCATCACATCGTGCATGCAGCCGATCTGTCAGTCAGCGGTCCAAGATGTGTCGGCACCCGAGCAGCTGAAGGTGAAGGAGGGAGAGGCTGAACCTGCAAGGCTGAAAGTGTTGGCAGGCGAACTTCGGCATCCTCCTTGGCCTTGCTGTGGGAGGAGCCTTCATCCTTGGAGCGATGATGGGAGGCATCATCACCTCCATCAAGGGCCCGGAGCTGGTCATGGCAACAGCCTCCCTTGTCTCAGCTGTCAACTTCTTTGTCACGCTCTTCTTCGCCCCCGAGACTCTCCCACCTCATAAGAGGATGGCAAAGGTGCAGTGGAAGGAGGCGAACCCCTTCGGCGCCATGGAGATCCTCACGTTCGATCCCCAGCTCCCTCCTCCTTCTCCTCTCACCTCCCACTGCAGGCGCGATCTCGTCACGGCGGGAGCAGCTGCCTCCTACCTCCTCATCTGGACAGCGTTGAACGGACAGCAGGTCAGTTCCTCCTCCTCTCTCAACACTCTCCGTGAGTTCGTCGTTAGACGAACTTGTTCTCCTACGTCGAGTACCGATACGGATGGGACCGCACAAGAGGCGCCATGCTCCAGGTCCCCGCGCTCACCATCCATGACCTAATCCTCCTCATCTCCTCTTCCTCTCCAGGCCCAGGTTGGACTTGTCCTCGCCCTCAGCCAGAGTCTCGCCCCCAAGTACCTCAGCCCCTACCTCAGCACCTCCAACATCATTCAGCTTGGCCTCTTCCTCTACCTCGTCTCCGGCAGTGAGTCCCACTGCCCTCCCGTGCCCCCACCCCTTGCTGACCGTCTTCAGTCATCATGGGACTGGCTCCTAACGGGCTCGTCTTCACGGGAGGAGCGCTCCTCTCAGCCGTTGGCTGCATGGCGATCCCTGTCCTCATGTCCGTCGTGGCGTCTCGAGCGCCGCCAGGAAAGTCCGGAGCGATGCTCTCGGCGCTAGAGACAGGTGCGCTACCTCCTCGCTCCCTCTCTCCCTTCCCTCTCAGCCTCCTTTCCTCCCTGACTCCCGTCCCTCTCCCCTCTCTTCTTCATTTCACTGAGAATGGACTCAGGCCTCACGCTTGATCGCGTGCTCGCATTCAAGTCCATGGCCTCGCTGTTCGCCTGGGTGCGGCCGAGAGGAGGGAGGGAGTTCGCATCTGACGTCTCCTGCGCAGGGAATGAAGAAGTCGATCCCTGGCGTGTTCCACTACGTCGGCTCCACATGCTGCCTGCTGGCTATGCTGGTGATGACGATGATCTCGAAGGAGGTGGACAGATGAAGTGAACGAGCAAGAGACTTGGTCGTCTACCCTGCTGGGGTTACATTACAGCCATGGCGGCACCTAGCGAGCAAACTTGTGCTTGCGCCCTTCCTCCTGCCCCTCGTGAATTCTCTTCATCCCGCAGCGCTCGTGCCTCTGCCGCTGCTTTTCTAGTGATAAAACCTGATGGATGACATAAACTGATTGTACTGGAGGAGGGAATAGCGGGATGGATGGACACGGGATGGATGGACGGACGGACGCCGAGGGGGAAAGCGGTGAGAGGGGAGGGAGGGAGGAGGAGGGGAGGAGGGAGGGGGGGGGGGCGGGGGCGGGGCGAGTAAGGAAGG